GCGGAGGCATCAGGCCTGGGCAAGGGGCCAATCTGGCAATCGGAGGCTGATAGGGGTCAACGCCTCTGGCCAAGGGGCCAGGCCTGGGCAAGGGTGGAGCCTGTGATCGGGGGAGATGGGGTTCCCCTGCCCAGGCCTGAAGCCTGGGCCAGAGGCGTCAAGCCTGGGGCGGGGGTGGGTGGGGTGCCAAGCCGCAGATTGGTGTGAACTACAGAGGAAGCACCTTTTCTGAACGCTCATTGGTTAAGCTCCCTGTATGCCACTGGTAATATTCTTAGTAACTTGGGTAATAAGAATCCAAAACAGTGATCTAGGGTTTTTCACCACACTCCTGGCGAAAAAACGAAGGTCCGCTGCTGTAGGGCTAAGAAATGTCATATCCTGCCCTAGCCAGTTTGGCTCAGTGGATAATGCCTTGGCCTGCCGATGGCAGGGTCTGGGTTCAATTCTGACCAAGGGCATGTACCTAGGTTGCAGGCTCCTCCCTGGCCGGGGCCCAGGTCAGGGCTTATGCAGGAGGCAACCAATCAAAGTGTTCCTCTCATTTTGATGTTTCTCTCTGTCTTTCCCTTTCTCTTTCACATTCTCTAAAAATCAGTGGAAACATATCCTCAGGTGAGGATAAAAAAATAATAAAGAAATTATTATTATATGAAAGACACATCTTGAAAATGCCTAAAAAATGTTGTCATTTTTTCATGGTGATGGGACTGGAGTCCGTGTTGATGAAAAAACCTTGCTGGCTGTGGTGACTGGCAGTGGCTGCAGCAGTGGGGTGATGGGGTTGGTGCCTTCCCCTGATCAGCCTGGTCACCTCCCACAAAGGGAGGCCAGACTGCAGCTTAGGCCTGCTCCCCAAGGGGAGCTGGGAGCGGGCCTAAGCCATCAATAGGACATCCCCTGAGGGCTCCCAGTATGTGAGAGGGGGCAGGCTGGGCTGAGGGACACTCCCCCCACCAGTGTACGAATTTCGTGCACCGGGCTCCTAGTCAATAAATAAAATTTTAAGATTTATGTGAAATAATTTGAACTAAAGAAAAAGAGTGGGTTTTCTTACATCAGGGGTCCTCAAACTTTTTAAACAGGGGGCCAGTTCACTGTCCCTCAGACCATTGGAGGGCCGGACTATAGTTTAAAAAAAAACTATGAACAAATTCCTATGCACACTGCACATATCTTATTTTGAAGTAAAAAAACAAAACGGGAACAAATACAATATTTGTATTTGCATGTGGCCCGTGGGCCGTAGTTTGAGGACCCCTGTCTTACATAGTAAATACTGGAGGAAGGGAATATGCCCTATAAAGTTGAGTCCCCTGTGGCATTTGACTGGATCAAGGAATCAAGGAGCATGGCCATTCCTGTTTCCTATATCCCTCTGTCTAAGTTTCTTCCTCAGATAAAGAAATGGAAGTCAGACTCAGTCATCCTGCTCAAAGTGGTCTGAAGGCCCCATTCTTTCAAAGCTCAAGTCACAAATGTAAAAGAATCAAGGGCTTCTATCTGGATTTCAGTTCTCAATAGAGGACGCTGCTGATCAATTATTTCCTATCTCATCTAGTTTCTTTGCGGTAAAGAAATACCTCCTCTCTGAGAGAAGTGTGAGTGAAGAGTTTTTAAGATTTTGTATCTTTCTCCCCAGAGACATTAGCAAATGCCAGTGCTGAAGTCTCCACGCTCTTCACTTCCTCCAAGTGCACAGGGAATAGGTTGGCTGAAGTTTTTAACAAAACATTTGTTTCATCAAAAGTTAAACATGTTCTGCCACGTCACATGGAATCTCAAGTTGTGACCAAAATTTTGTCATTACATGGACAATAGAAGCACCATGAACTAGCCTTTATAATATCTGAGCATGTGCTGGGAAACTGAGCCACAGTAGCTCTAGAAAAAGCCATTCACCTTAGGTTATCAGCTGAATTCAGGGAATCAAGGGAGGTTTGCATTTTCAGTCAATCTGGATTCCAATTGCAGAACCTTCTGTGGATGCCAGGCCATTCCTGTCCTAACCCCTCTCCAGCTCAGGATGTGGTCCTAACATGGATTTCACTGTGGAAATGCTCATTATTTTTCAAGTAAAGTTGCAGAACATAATTATCAAAGAGATAACAACTAACAAGTGTTGCTGAAGATGTGAAGAAAAGGGAACCCTCGTGCACTGTTGGTGGGAATTGGTGCAGCCACTGTGGAAAACAGTATGAAGCTGCCTCAGAAAAATTAAAAGTAAAACTACCATATAATCCAGCAATTCCACTTTTGATATTTATCTGAAGAAAACAAAAATACTAATTTGAAAAGAAACATGCACCCTCATGTGTATCACAGAATATTTATAGTGGCCAAGACATGGAAACAACCTAAATAATCATCAACAGATGGCTGGATAAAGAAAAATGTGGTGTATATATATACACACTGGAATATTATTCAGCCATAAAAAAAGAATGAAATATAGCCATTCACAACAATAGGAATGTGCCTTGGTGGCATTGTGCTAAGTAAAATAAATCAAATAGAGAAAGACAAGTTTCATGTGACCTCACTTATATGTAGAATCTAAAAACAACAACAAAACATACACACGCAAATGAGCTAAGACACAGAAAACAGATTGGTAGTTGCTAGAGGTGGGGGCTGGGGGTTGGCAAAATGAATGAAGAGGGTCAAAAGGTACAAACTTCCAGTTATAAAATGAATTAATCCTGGGATGTAATGTGCAGCATGGTGACTATAGTTAATAACACTGTACTGAAAGTTTAAAAGTTGCTAAGAGAGTAGTTCTTAAAAGTTATCATAAAAATTTTTAATAATGTATATTGTTGGTTGGTAATTAGACTTATTGTGGTGGTCATTTTGCAATACACATATATAAATATCAAATGATTACACTGTATACCTAAAACTGATGTATAAGTTATACCTCAAGAGAAAAAAAAAAAAAAGAAATTTCAGAGCCTAAAACATTTTAGGCAGTAGTGCTCCATATAAACAGACTAACAGTGATGGCGAACCTATGACACGTGTGTCAGAGGTGACACGCGAACTCATCTTTTTGGTTGATTTTTCTTTGTTAAATGGCATTTAAATATATAAAATAAATATCAAAAATATAAGTCTTTGTTTTACTATGGTTGCAAATATCAAAAAATTTCTATATGTGACACGGCACCAGAGTTAAGTTAGGGTTTTTCAAAATGCTGACACGCTGGGCTCAAAAGGTTCGCCATCACTGGACTAGAAGGAAATGCATTAATAGTGGTTGGAGATTATGGGTAACATTTTTTCTTCTTTTTTGATGTGCTTTCAATTTTCAAAATTGTCTGCAATGTACATATATTACATTTATAATTTTAAAAAAATTAACAGGGGATAGCAGACTATGTGGAAAAGGCAATGGCTCTCTCTAGAGACTCCAAGGATGCTGAGTTCCCAAGAAGTCAGAAGACTTCTTATGGTCCATCCCTAGAAGGGAGATTTTTCAGAGCCTTTTAGAAGCACTGTGGAGTACATTTGATAAAACCCTCTATGCACTGATCCACGCCCCCAGAGGGTAATCCATTACATAGAGAAGCATTGGGGAAAGAAAAAGTTACCTTGACTCTCTAAAGATGTATAGTTCATAAGACACTGTGGATGGATACAGAGCTCTAAAATCCCCTACATTAACCAATGCTTAGACACGTTGGAGAAAAAAGTCCACCGAGCTCCCTCTGCAGGTCTATGGTAGAATTAACTGACCACCTTTCATTCTTGGCTTCTTTAAAAGAACACAAGGCTCCAGTCAACAAAGTACAGGTTAGTTTTCTGCAATATGAAATGAAATGTGCTGACACCAAAAAAAAAACAACAAACAAACAAACACACACACACACACACACACAAACTAAATTAAAAAACTTCCTTTGGTCTATTCTATGGTAGCAGTGAAAAACAGTATTTTAAACAAGTATAGGAAATAGAAATAGCCCTTGTAATTTCAGTTCTGTGAAAAAACTTCAGCAGAGGGTGATTAAAATAGCCAATTACAAAGCAAAAAATCAGGGCTGCAAGCCAATATTTCTGGCTCCAATAGACAAAGACCTCCCTCAAGTTCTCAAGTTGCTTCATGGAAAGGGAACTGGTAAAGCAAGATGACAGAATCTCATGGAATCTAGTTTTTCTTCTTTTTCCTGTAAATTTTAAAGTCAGATCCTTGATAGTCTGCATCATCTACCTCATCAGTAAAATGAGAGTATGTGAGATCATGTCTTAAGATTCCTTTAAGCTTTAACTGAAAATAAACAAATATGCAGTAGTAATAATATATTTTGTTATCCTCGCATATGTCCAAGAGTGGATGGTTTCTATCTACAAGCTGGGGCAAGGGGTATAATCATAAAACCTGGGGCCAAGTTTCATCTCTGCCATGTGCTGATGGGGGTGTCACTTCTCTTAGTGTCCAATTACTTATCAGTAAAAATGGGAATACTAAAAACAGAGATGTAAAGGGAAAAAAGTCCCCATTTTCATCGCAGCAATTAAAAGGGTAAACCACCTAGGAATGCACTTAACCAAAAACAGGCATGATTTATATGATGAACACTTTAAACACACTACTGAGAGAAGAGAATCTAAACAAATGGAAGGGTTTAACATGTTCTTAGGTAGGCCGACTCAACCTCATACAGTTGCTAACGTCCTAAATCAACCTATTAATTTAATACAATCATAATTTAAAACACCCAAGCAGGTTTCCATGAAACTTGTCAAGCTGATTCTAAAATTCATATAAGATCCCAGCAGAGAACCAAGATGGCAGCATAGGTTCTCACCACCTCCCACAAACACATCAAAATTATAACTAAAATACAGAATAACCATCATTCAATACTGACTGAAATCAAACTGGATGGAAGTCCTACAACTAGAGAAGTAAAGAAGGAAGCACATTGAGACAGGTAGGAGGGCCCAAGGCACAGTTACAGGCTGGCCTGACACTCACCTGTGGCATGCTTTTAATTGGGAGGGATATCTTGGCTACAGAGGCCTCCCGTGAAAAACAAAGGGTCCCAGCACCAGACAAACCCCCAACACAGGGTTCCAGAGCTGGAAAGAGAAGTTCCCATAAGTTCAGGCTGTAAAAACCAGTGGGGAATGTGGCTGAGTGATATGGAGGCTGTTGGACACCCAAGCAATTCCTCTTAAAAGGGTCGGCATATGGACTTACTTGGACTCGATCCCTCTGGACTCCAGTGCTGGGGCAGCAGCTCAGAGGGTATTCAGGAACATACATGGAGGAACTGAATAGTCTGGCAAGAATTCAGGAGCAGCTTTTCCCCAGACAGGAGTGTTTACAGGGGTCATTATTCCTGTGCTGAAACCTCCCCCACCACAGAGCTAACTGGCAGCCATATCTGAGTTTACATCAACCTGGCTCACGCTGTTTGCTCTACCCCAGTGCTTCCCTGAGACCACACTCCACCAAATTCTCAGCCTCACCCAAGCTGTTTGCAGAAGCTTTCCATATGAATGGCCTGTCCTGGATCAGGCTTCAGACATTCCAGAGGCCTCTCAAACAAGCAGCAGCTGGTGTCAGCATGCCCCATGCTTATCAATAGGAGGACCTGGCACTAGCAGCAGCCTGCCTTGCTTCACAGCTGAGCCCCGCCTGGGCACTTCCAAGCCCAATGTAAGTAGCAGCTATCTGCAGATTGCTCTGTACCTCCTGCCAGGAGGCCCCAGAGCCAGTGCACCCAGTGGACAGCTTCAGCCCATACCAGATTACCACTCTACACAACCACAAGTGACACATTCACTGGTCAGACTCAGTGAGCACCAAAACCCTGCTGAATCAAGTCCTGCTCCATAGGAGTATCGCTTGCATTTTAGTCGCAGCTGGTCCTCACAGTCAATTGGCCTAGAGGTCAATTCCTCCCAGTGATGCCAACAGCAAACAGGACTCAACTACAGCAAGATTGTGCTCACAGCCCATAGAGGGGCACACCTAGAGAGTCCAGCTCAGGTGACTGGGGAGGCTGAGCCAATGGGCTCTATAGAATACCTACTACACAAGGCCGCTCTACCAATTCCAGGAGACATAGCAGCTCTACCTGATACATAGAAACAAATACAGGAAAGTAGCCAACAGGTGGAGACAAAGAAACATGTCCCAAATGAAAGAAGAGAAGAAATCTCCAGAAAAAGACCTATAGAAATGGAAGCAAGCAGACTACTAGATACAGAGTTCAAAACAATAGTTATAATATTATGCAAGGATCTTAATGAGAGCTTCAAGACACTTATTGAGACTTTCAACTATCTTAGTGAGTATGTCAAAGACATTAAAAAGGAACAGTCAGAAATTAGGCACACACTAACTGAAATAAAGAATAATTTACAAGGATTCAACAGTAGAATAAAGGATGCTGAGAATCAAATCAGCAATTTGAAATATAGGGAAGCAAAAAACATCCAATCAGAAGAACAAAAAGAAAAAAGAATCCAAAAATATGAAGATAGTGTTAGGGGCCTCTGGGACAACTTCAAATGTACCAACATTTGCATTATGAGGGTGCCAGAGAGAAGAGAGAGAGCAAGATATGAAAAACTGTTAGGCACACACTAACTGAAATAAAGAATAATTTACAAGGATTCAACAGTAGAATAAAGGATGCTGAGAATCAAATCAGCAATTTGAAATATAGGGAAGCAAAAAACATCCAATCAGAAGAACAAAAAGAAAAAAGAATCCAAAAATATGAAGATAGTGTTAGGGGCCTCTGGGACAACTTCAAATGTACCAACATTTGCATTATGAGGGTGCCAGAGAGAAGAGAGAGAGCAAGATATGAAAAACTGTTTGAAGAAATAATGACAGAAAACTTCCCCTACCTGGTGAAAGAAATATACTTACAAGTCCAGGAAGCACAGAGAGTCCCAAACAAGAGGAACCCAAAGAGCCCACACCAAGACACATCATAATTAAAATCCCAAGGATTAAAGATAAAGAGGAAATCTTAAAAGCAGCAAGAGAAAAGCAGCTATTAGTAGTTACCTACAAAGGAGTGCCCATATGACTGTCAGCTGATTTCTCAGCAGAAACTTTGCAGGCCAGAATGGAGTGGCAATAAATATTCAAAGTGATAAATTGCAAGGATCTATAACCAAAGTTACTCTACCCCGCAAAGTTATTTAGAATTGAAGGTCAGATAAAGAGCTTCACAGACAAAAAAAGGCTAAAGGAGTTCATTACCACCAAGCCATTATTACATGAAATGTTGAAGGGTATTCTTTAAGAAGAGGAAGAATAAGCATAAGCATAAGCATAAGCATAAGCATAAGCATAAGCATAAGCATAAGCATAAGCATAAGGATAAGGATAAGCATAAGGAAGAGGATGAGGATGAGAATGAGGATGTGGATGAGGATGAGGATGAGGATGAGGATGAGAAGGAAAAGGAGGAGGAGGAGGAGGAGGAGGAGGAGAAGGCGGGAAGGAGAAGAAGGCTCAAAAATAATATGAACAATAAAATGGCAACACATACATATCTATCAACAATTGTATCTAAAAATCAAAATAAATAAACAAGAAATCTAATGAACAAAATAAGCTAGTGAATAAAATAGAAAGAGAGGCATAGAAACATGGAACAGAATGATGAATCTCTGAGGGAAGGGGGTGTTGGGAAGAAACTAACCAAAGATTTTTATGTGCATATATTTGTTACCTATGGACACAGACAATAGGGTGCTGAATGCTTGGGTTGGGTGGGAACTGGGTAGAAGAGGGAGATGGGGGGAAAAGGGAGGACATCTGTAATACTCTCAACATAAAGATTTAATAAATAAATAAATAAATAAATTGAAAAAAAGAAATAGCATTTATGTAAAAAGTAAATAAGCAAAATTAGTTAGGAAAGCTCTGAAAAATAAAAACAATGAAAGAAAAATAAGCCCTTTTATATGCTAAAACAAATTACAAAGTTATAATGTTAAAACAGTGTCATATTGGCGTATGAATAGACAAAGCAATGGAAGAACATAGAAAGTCAGAAATAAACCCCAATACAAATTGTAACTTCTAATATAATAAAGGAAGAATTTAAAATCCATGAGAGAAAAAAGTATCATTTAATCAATGATGTTGGTAACAACTGGATAGCCATCTAGAAAAAATAATGAATATGATAATTTCTAGATACATCAAAGATTTAAATGCAAGTAGTAACATTTTTTAAGTATTATAAGAAACAAGATAATTTTAAAAAATAATCCTGAAATGGAGAAGGCTCTCTTAACTCTAAACAAAACACTGATATACCTTATCATATAAAATAAGACATTTCTGCGTGGCAAAAACGATAATCTCCCTATATATAAAGAGTTTTTATAAAACAATAAAAATGACAATCAATTTTTTATTACGGAAGTAAATAATTCACAGAATAAGTAATTCACATGAGTCTAAAACTTTAAAAGATATCCATCCTCACTCATAATAAAGTAAATGCAAAGTAGAACTATGACACTATTTTTTACTGGTATTTTTACTGATATTTGATACTCTGTGGGGGTTTAAAGTAATGGCATACTTCTACATTGTTGAGAGGGCTATTTGAAAGTACTCTCTAAATTACAAATGCACAAATCCTTTGACATAATAAATCTACTTCTAGGAATTTATCCTACAGATATATTAATACATATAACAAAAGGCAATAATACATATATATTATTTGCAGGATTGTTTGTAATTGCAAAAGTTTGGTAATGAATGTCTGACAATAGGAGGGTGATTAAATAAATTATAACATCCCTTCAATGGAAATTTATGCAGCTATAAAAGTGGATGAGGACACAATATCTAATATGCAATAATTACTGAGATATAATGACAAAGTAGGGAGGCACAAAAGCAGAAAAAGAAAATATATACAATGTTTTGTGTAAGCATAAAAGATGTCAGGTAGAAATGTATAAAATTGGGTGGCCAGTGGCAAGATAACCTGGGTGGCATGGGGCAAAGTAAGATGAAGACTGTTCAGTATGCTTCCACAATACAGTAAGTCCTCCTTAACACTGCTGATATGTTCTGTGACTTTAAGCAAAATGACAGCTAATAAAACCAATTTTACCATAGGCTAATTGATATAAACAAGAATTGAGTTTCTATGGCATCTCATCAATATTATAATGAAATTACATGGAAAGAAATGATATTATTTGAGAACCTGCTGTATATCCCTGTGTAAATTTTGAATTTTGAACTGTGTGAAAGTTTAATTCAAAATACTTAAATTATATTAAAGGAGGTATATCTTCAAGCTCATTTTAGGGGAAGAGTTAAAGGTAGTAATCTATATAAAGTACATAGAATACAGCAGGTACTCAACAAATGGTTGTTGAAGAATGAGTAAGTATTGCCAACTGGGATGGCAACTCTGTCTTTTGTCACAGTGCTGGTCTCAACACCACTGGCCCAGACTCCCCCTGGCAAAGTTCCTTCAGGCATTTAGCAATGCCTTCGACTGGCCTTCCTCACTATTCTTTCAATATAGTTTAATCCTATATTAAACATGTTTGTCTCAAACTCTAAGTTCCAGCTATAATTTTTTTTTAAGGGCAGAAAGTAGAAACCATACTCTTATGGACTTTGTGCTGAGAAGATTGAGAGGGGTAACTGCCTTTGAGAGACTTTCTTTAAGGCTTGGAAAACAAAAGCAAAATGATTAACTCAGACTCAGAGAGACACTGGCAACCATGCAAACAGGATTTGTGGAGTGCACTCACGGGTTTGTTTACTGGACAAATTATGGCAGCCCTACTCCACTGTTTTCAGGTGGAAGCAATGCTAAAGGCCTACCTGGGGATTCTGAGCATCAAACCACCAGAGGCATACTATCTTGTTAGTCATTTCCCTTTATGCAGGAGTTAACATGACTAGTCAGAAGGCAAGTTAGTACTACCACATTCTAGAGTGGTCCACGGTGAGATACATACAGAAATTAAAGGTGAGAATATAGAATAGTATGTGTATTGAATCTGATATTTAAACGTTAAGCTTGCATTACACATTTTATTTTTATTTCATTTTTATTTTTCCTAGTAGCTCTTTTTTATTTTAGTTTACAAAATGTCAGTCCAAAAGAGTTTAGAAATTTCAGAAACAAAAACACTAGTCCTATACCAGACACAGTTTGAGATGCACTGTTCTGGCCTATATGTTCATCTAGCCAGAATGACTGTCAAGTTCCACAAATCTGTGGTATCCGATGTGACTGTTGATTACATGAAAAGTGGCTAGTCTAAATTGGGATGTGCTGTAAGGGTAAAATACGCACCAGATATCAAATCTTAGAACAAAAAATTTGTACAAATCTCAAACTTTTAATAACAATTATATATTGAAATGATACTTTGGATATATTGAGTTAAAGATATATCATTAAAATTAATTTGATATATTTCTTTTTACTTTGTAATGTGGCTACTAAAAAATTTAAAGGATATATTTGGCTTATATATGTGGCTCACATCATATTTCTATTGGATAGTGCTGAGAGTTGCTCTGAAGTTTTCTCCTCCTGCTACTTTTGAACCAGTTTTATGGTGTCCAATCTCACCACAACATATTCAGTGCAAACATCGCCTCTTCAATAAAGTTCTCATGAACCATAAAGGAACTCCCAACACAAACTCCCCTCCAACTGTGCTCCTATAATATTTAGCACAGCCTTTCATTTATATGTGTGTGCATGTATACATGTATGTATGAATAAACAAATAAATTAAATTATATAAAAGGCCTCATATTAGAAAGTAAGCTTCCTCAAGTGTATGTTCATAGTCACTGTCTCTCCAACACTTAGCGCTATCATAGGAGCTCAATAAATGTTGTTGAATAAGTAGATAGGTAAATAACCTTAGCTTCAGCTAAATATTTCCTTGCTTCTCTTTACATTGAACTTGGAGACTTGAGAGTTAAATGCTAATTTTAATTTCTAGGCAAGATAGCAGGATGTGAATATCTGCATGTTGATATTACTTAACAGGTAACTTAAAAATTTATCATTTATTCAACAAATATTTAGAGTACTTTTCTAGGCATTGGGAAAGAGTGGTAAATAAATCTCTGCATTTAAGGCAATTACATCCCATAGGTCAGTGGGGTGACAGAAAATATAAAACAAACAAATATAAATAATCAAACAAGAAAAGAAATTAAATACTAAATAATACACAGAGAATGAAAATTAGGTGCATGATAACAATGAGAACTGTAAGTGCATACCTTAGATTTGGTGCTTAGGGAGGGCCTCTCTGTGCAGGTGCAATTTAAGCTGAAAAATGTCAAAGAGGAGATTTTTTAAAACAGAGATGACTAAATTAGGCAAAGAGAACAGTTAGAGCAAGTTCCCAAAATTGAAACAGTTTGATTTGTTGAAGTAAAGAATTCTGTATATTAATCCTTTATCAGATATAAGGTTTGCAAATATTTTCTCCCATTCTATGGGTTGCCTTTTCACCTGTTGATACTGTCCTTTTGTAACTAAAAAAGCAGGTTCCACTGCCTGCTGTAACAAAAGCCAAACTCATGAGGCAGGTGCTGGAGCAAAAAGAACAAGGGTGTTGTTGTTTTTTAAAATCTTTATTGCTAAGAGTATTACAGATGTCCCACTATATTCCCTCATCATCCCCCTCCCCATGGTTACTGCCCCATCCCAGGCAACCACCCGATTGTCTGTGTCTATCCATAGGTAGTGAATATATGCACATAGTTCTTTGATTAATCTCTTCCCATCACTCCATTCCCCTTCCCTCTGAGATTCATCAGTCTGTTCCATGTTTCTATGCCTCTCTTTCTATTTTATTCACCAGTTTGTTTTAATTAGACTTCTTGTTCATTTATTTTCATTTTTAGATTCAGTTGTTGATATGTATTTATTGCCATATTATTGTTCACGTTTTTTATCCTTTTCTTCCTCTTCTTAAAGAATATCCTTCAACATTTCACGTAATACTGATTTGGTGGTGATGAACTCCTTTAGCTTTTTCTTGTTATGAAACTCCTTATCTGACTTTCAATTCTAAATGAGAGCTTTGCTGAGTAGAGTAATCTTGATTGTAGGTCCTTGCAATTTATCACTTTGAATATTTCTTGCCACTCTCTTCTGGCCTGCAAAGTTTCTGCTGAGAAATCAGCTGACAGTCATATGGGCACTCCCTTGTAGGTAACTACTAGTAGCTGCTTTTCTCTTGCTGCTTTTAAGATTTCCTCTTTATCTTTAATCCTTGGGATTTTAATTATGATGTGTCTTGGTGTGGTCCTCTTTGGATTCCTTTTGTTTGGGGTTCTCTGCACTTCCTGGACTTGTAAAGTCTATTTCTTTCACCAGGTAGGGGAAGTTTTCTATCACTATTTCTTCAAATAGGTTTTCAATATCTTGCTCTCTCTCTCTCTCTCTTCTCTCTGGCATAATGCAAATGTTGGTACATTTGAAGTTGTCTCAGAGGCTCCTTACACTATCTTCATATTTTGGATCCTTTTTTTTCTTTTTGCTCTTCTGATTGGCTATTTTTTGGCTTCTTCATATTTCAAATCATTGGTTTCTCAGAGTCCTCTACTCTACTGTTGATTCCTGTAAATTATTCTTTATTTCAGTTAGTGTGTGCATAATTTCTGACTGTCCCTTTTTCATGTTTGACATTCTAAGATAATTGAAAGTCTCACTAAGTGCCTTGAAGCTCTCATTAAGATCCTTGAGTAACGTTATAACCAGGGGTGGGCAAACTTTTTGACTCGAGGGCCACAATGGGTTCTTAAACTGGACCGGAGGGCCGGAACAAAAGCATGGATGGAGTGTTTGTGTGAACTAATATAAATTCAAAGTAAACATCATTACATAAAAGGGTACGGTCTTTTTTTTTTTTTTTTTTTTTAGTTTTATTCATTTCAAATGGGCCGGATCCGGCCCGCGGGCCGTAGTTTGTCCACGGCTGGTTATAACCATGGTTTTGAATTCTATATCCAGTAGTTTGCTTGGTTCCATTTCTTTCCTTTCATTTGTGATGTGTTTCTTTGTCACTGCATTTTGGCTGCTTCCCTGTGTTTGTTTCTATGTATTAGGTAGAGCTGCTATGTCTCTTGGAGTTGGTAGAATGGTCTTGTGTAGTAGGTATCCTGTAGGACCCAATGGTTCAGCCTCCCTAGTCACCTGAGCTGAGCACTCTAGGTGTGCTCCTCTGTAGACTGTGTATACAGTCTTGTAGTTGAGACTTGAATGCTGTTGGTGTCACTGGGAGGAATTGACCTCCAGGCCAATGGGCTGAGGACCAGCTGCAACTGTAGTGGGAGAGTTGCTTGCAGGAAACACCCCTATGAAGCAGGGCTTTGGTGCTCACTGAGTCTGCCCCTTGAGTGTGTTGCTTGTGGATATGTAGAGTGGTAATCTGGTATGGTCTAAAGCTGTACATCAGGTGCACTGGCTCTAGGGCAGCCGTGGCAAACTACGGCCCGCGGGCCGGATCCGACCCGTTTGAAATGAATAAAACTAAAAAAAAGAGACCGTACCCTTTTATGTAATGATTTTTACTTTGAATTTATATTAGTTCACAAAAACACTCCATCCATGCTTTTGTTCCAGCCCTCCGGTCCAGTTTAAGAACCCACTGTGGCCCTCGAGTCAAAAAGTTTTCCCACCCCTGCTCTAGGGTCTCCAGGGGGGTACAAAGTCATCCAATATCTAGGGCCACCCAGCAGGAGCTACAGAGAAATCTGCTGATGCCTGCTATTTGTATTGGGTTTGGAAGTGCCCAGATGAGGCCCAGCTGTTAAGCAAGGTAAGTTGCTATTCCTGACAATAGGTTTGGGGCACACTGACACCAGCTACAGCTCTTTGAGCAATTTTAGCAAAGTCTGAAGCTTGAGCCAGGACAGGACATTCATATGGAAAAGCTGCTGCAAACAGCTTGGGTGGGACTGCAAATTGGATAGGGTGGGGTCTCAGGGCATCACCAGGGTGAAGCAAACAGTGTGAGCCAGGTTGATGAAGATTATGATTATGGCTGCCAGCAAAGGAACAATGACCCCTGGGAGCACCTCTGTTTGGGAGAAAGCCACCCCCGAGTTTCTGTCCCGAGGCCTGACAGTCCAGTTCCTCCCTGTTTGTTTCTGGGTCTCCCAATGCCTCCTGGAGCTAGAGCGCAAAGGAAGCGAGTCAGAGTAATTTCATTTGCTGGCCCTTTAAGAGGGACACTTGGGTCTCTGGCAGCCTCCATGTCCCTCAGCCACCATCCCTACTGGTTTTTACAACCCAAAATTATGGGGACTTCTCTTCCTAGCTCTGGGACCCTCGATTGGGGATCTGGTGTGAGGTGAGACCCATTGCTCCTCATAGAAGGCCTCCACAGGATGATCTCCCTCCTGATGAAAAAAGTGGCACACGTGGGTGCCATTCTAGCCCGTTCAGCATCTCCGCCCTTCCTACCAATCTCAGTGTGCTTGCTTCTTTACTTCTCTAATTGTAGGACTTCCATTCTTCCAGCTTTCAGGTGGTTCTGAATGATGGTTGTTCTGTATTTTAGTTGTAATTTTGATGTGGTGGCAAATACCAGTGTTTACCTATGCCACCATCTTGGTTCTCCTGGAATGAGGTTTTTTTATTCAGGTGCTGTGACCTGAGTCAATGGTAGACTCCCATCTCAAAGACCATCTCCCCTTCCTGCTCAAGCCCCTGGTTCTTATAGGGATAGAGAGGGTAGAGCTTTCTTTTTCTATGCAATTATTAATTATCTTGTTAGCTTCTGGAGTACTCTGGCCCTGTCTATTCATCTTTCTAGCCTTTGGCATGCTCAGTGTAAGAACTTCCCTATGCACCATCTTGGCCAATGGGGGAGACTCCTGAGCACTCCCTGACTGTCTATGGTAGGGGAAGGTAGTGGGGAGGAAGGGCCTGCAGGTCCTACCATTAAGAAGTCTGGTGATGCCATGGTCCACCACCCAATGCTGGATGCGGCGCCTGTACATCCCGGGGAGCCAGTTTGAATCCACTGGGAACACATTGAACCCAGGCACGCTCTTGTCCTCTGCACAACTCCCACATGGCCAACCTTTCTAAAGTGGCCAGCCAGACTTGTGCTCTGATGGACAGCTACCTATAATTCCCCCCTTGAAGGGTAAATGGATAGAGGTCTCAACTTCTGTAGTTTCTTCCTGCCATCAAGGGGTGTAGTCTTACTTATCCCCAGGGCCAGAGATTCTTGCTATCTACTAAAGGAAGAAGGGGGTCAAAAATGGAGGGAAGCCTTTATACAAGGGAGAAGGATAGCTGTCTTCAGAAGGCGGCATACGTGGTGTCTAGAGGATGGCACTGATGAACAAGCGAAGCTAGTAGATTACTTCATATTTTAAGAGGGTTTGCAGATGGGCTTCCAAAGTAAAACCTATTGTGTATTCAAGCAATCAAGTGAGGGGTATGCCTAGTAATATAGGGGGATTTTAATGAAATGAGAAACTAAAGAGAGACTAAAGTATCCCCATTATCTAATCCCGAGTGGAGCTCTGGATGGCACACACAATAGCAGGATAAGTTTGCCAAGGGAAACTGTCTTAAATATGCAGACAAAGGCATTATTAATCCCAAAATGAGCATAAAGTTTAGCAATTGTCAAAAAAAAAATAATAATTGTCACTTAGCTTTGGGGGGCACTGTCCTTTTCTAAAACAGAAATTTTCCATCTCTTTCAGGACTGTAGGTCTAGCTTTCCTTTGCAGTATTAACAGCAGCAGCAAGACGCTAGTTCACCTCATGCAGCACCCACTTTACCTTTGTGTGGTGGATCCAAGACTTGCTTCCCATGAGCCTTAGGGAAGTGTTGTCAACAGTACGTTATAGAGATCCAGTCCATTGCTCAGCTAACTTCTGTTCAGGACCCTGAGTCTTCCAGGTCTTTAGTAAGACTCAGTCTCCCAGCTGTAATGGATATAAGGATTCATCAGATAGGTAGGTGGACCTGCATTGAGCAAAATTGTACAAAGTTGTTAGTGTTTGCCCTAAATATTGTAAGTATTGTTTGATTTTTGATTCATGTTCTAAATCAGTGATGGCGAACCTATGACACGCGTGTCAGAGGTGACACGCGAACTCATTTTTTTGGTTGATTTTTCTTTGTTAAATGGCATTTAAATATATAAAATAAATATCAAAAATATAAGTCTTTGTTTTACTATGGTTGCAAATATCAAAAAATTTCTATATGTGACATGGCACCAGAGTTAAGTTAGGGTTTTTCAAAATGCTGACACGCTGAGCTCAAAAGGTTCGCCATCACTGTTCTAAATCTAAAGGGGGTGTTCCTAAAACAGAAATTTTAAAGTATCTCCCATAAATTATTAGAAAAGGGCTTAATTTAAGCCCACTTCAAGGCACTTCCCAAATTCAGAACAAGCCAATAGGGCATGCCTGCTCCCATTTCAAATGTTTCCTGGTATATTTTCAGGAGGGTCTTCTTTATTGTGTGGTTCATTTTCTCACTCATCCACGTAGATTGGGTCTCCAAGATGCATGTGAGATCATACCATTAGTGTTGATCTTCCATAAAGAATTAGAGTCAGTGTTAGAGAATCCCCATTCACAGGCCTATTCCTCATCTCGTTCTGTGTAATAGGGTTTAAAGTCCAGGTAGGGAATTAAAGCCCCAAGAAGTGGCAGCTCTCAGGTGGCTTGTAGTTGAGCCTGTTCTTCTATTGGGATACAGAAAAAAAGCATCCTTTAAGTCTAGGACTAAAAACCATGTGCTGTCTTTGGGCACCATGGCCAATAAAGTATAAAGGTTGAGCACCATAGAATGAATGTCCTGGACAATGTTGTTGATGGCCCTATACTAATCAATATTCATCAGAGTGAGGCTATTTGATTGGCAAAATTGGGGTATTACAGGGTAACTTTCATGGCTGAATTGATCTTGATTTTAAGAGTTTCTACAATGCTGGTTGAATTCCCTCTAAAGCTTCCTTTTAAAGCAGATATTGTTTCTTCTATGGGATCCGTGCCTCTTATTTTAAGTTAATTTTTATAGGTCGGATGTTAACTGCCTTCCCTGGGATCCCATTGGTCCAAACAGTTTGATCAACCTGCTTGTAGATCTCGGGTGGGAAAAATTAACCACCAGGTCCTTCCGGGAAAGTCAGGACAACCTGGAGCTGGAGAGTATGTTCCGGGAGGACTCCTAAACATAATTGGTGCTCCTCAGGGGAAAACATTATTTGTGCATGCAATTTACAAAGTAAATCTCAGCCCAACAATGGAATGGGGCAGTCTGGCATGTAGAGAAAACTATGCATAAGTTTTGATCCTCAAGCTGTCATTCTTGATGTTGAAGGAACGCCTGTTTTTGTAACTGTCCAGTCACTGCAGTGACCGACACCACAGCTGATCTTTTCGTGGTTAGTTTTATATTTAGCACTGAGTATGTAGCTTCTGTATCTACAAGGAAGTCAACTAGCTTGTTCCCCACTGTCAATTTTACCTGAGGCTCATGTGGGGAAATAGGAATAGGTCTGGAGGTGTATAGGGGAGCCCCTGGGCCTCCTCATTTGTCATCAGATTCATCATTCCTTTCTAACATTTCTAAGCTAGGGTTTTTATCCTTTTTACTTTTATTTTTTAGTTCTGGATAGTCCTGTTTACAATGGCCTTCCTCTTTGCAATAGGCACATTGATAGGTGCCTAATAAGTCTCCCTTTTCCTTTCGGGTCCCACCTCTCCTGGTTCCCCCACACAGTTTCTAAGGAAAAGGCGGCTTGCCTTATTTTCTTGTTTCCTGGGCACGGTAAACTTTAGAAGCTATGTCCTCCAGCTGGGAAGGATTCATTCCCAATGCCCCGTCTAAGTGTTGGAGCTTTCTTCTGATTATCTGGGGCACTTTGCCCAATAAAAGTCATGTTTACCTTCGGGACATTTTCTGGTGCCTGTGGGTCAGCCTCAGTGTGATTTTAATAGGCCTGCTAGATCCTTTCTTAAAATTTCAGAAGGATCTTGTTTTGGTTTCTGTTAAACAGCACATATCATGTTCCAGCTCTTTCATTTAGGCACCCCTTTTTAAAGTCCTTCCGATATGCATCTTTTGTAATGTTCTAGGAAGGCTAGGCCCCCCCTATTGGGGTCTCAGTTGGGCTCTGTCAAGGGAATCATTCTGACAAGATTGGAGGTCCTGTTGAAATGCTCTTGATAGAGATGATGAGGCTCTTCATCAGCCTTATTTAATAACTAGCTGCCTTTCATCTGCCATTAGTAAGATGTTAAAGAGAGCCTGTATATCTGCCCAGCTTGGATGGTGAGTGGCAAAAATGGAGGTGATAAGATCTGCCATTTTCTGACAATATGAGAGGTTGGAATTCTTCCAATTCAGTAAACCTGAAGTGGAAAATGGAATATGGGCCTAGTAGTGGCCCGCAGGCTGACCTTCCTGGTTCATGCCACCTACAGGATACTGCCTCAAAGGGAATTGTCCCAGGATTCTCCCTAGCCAAATTGGGTGCCCTCCCAGGTTTTTGAGGGGGAGACCATTCTTTCATCATACAGGGGTGGAGCTGTTGTGCCTGTGGGCCCTATTTCAGGGTTATCTAGCAGCAGGTGTGGTGGCAGGAGAAAAGCAAAGAATAGCAACAAGTTCAAATACAAAAATAATCACAATAAATGTTTATGTACTAACCTCATCAGTTAATAAGCAGAAATAACAAGACTGGAAAAAACATAATTGCCTACAGGGACACAAGAATACTGAAACTATTTAACACTGAAAGTAAAAGAATGGATAGTAATATAGCAGTAAAATACCACTCAAAAAAAGTATGAGTCTACATCAGACAAACTACAATAGAATAAGGAGGATTATTAGGAGCAAAAGAGAGTCACCACATTAGGATAAACTTTGCATAATAATTCTAAAATTTAAGCAAATAAAAAAATAGCATCAAATTACATAAACAGCTTCTGTTTTCCAGTCGGGCATAGAAGGGGCTTACTAGTAGAAGTCATCATTCCATTTTAAGAACAAGTAAAAAACTGAGCAACCTGAAAAATCAACAACTCTGCCTAGATCCATCGAAGAAGTAGGGTCACATACAAACTAATGTCCTCCAAAAACTACAAAGACAGGCAAATACAAAAAATTACAACTTACTAGAGCAGAAACATCCATTAGAACCAATACCAGGGTAGAAAAATCCTAAACTGTAATTGATGAATCGCTAGAGCAGTGGTTCTCAACCTTGGCTGCACATTAGAATCACCTGGGAACCAAGGTTGAGCACCACTGAGCTAGAGGCTCAATGTGGGCAAGTCTGAGTTTAAAACTCTGTGGAGAGGAGGGGGGCACACTTTTGTGATTTTAACCTCCAGAAGCCCTACCAGGTTCTCACAGTGAATGTCAGGGGGGAAATCCCCTCCTGTTTCTGGCAGGGAGAAAGGAAAAGTTGTCATATTGACATACACCAGAGCATTTTGTTCTTCACAACAAGGCCTTCCCTCAAGAGAAACTGGTTTCCCAGAGCTTAACCTGATGGGGGGCAAGGGGGGTATTTAAGCTTGACCAACCTGAGCAAAGGGAAATACCCAACTCTACCATACTCTAGACATGTGAAATAAGGGAAGTACCCAAGTCCAGCCCCTCTAGCATTCTGTGCAGGAAGGGAAAACATAACTCCAGCCTCCTCTAGCTATCCTCTCCCACCTAAGAGGGGCAGAGGAGAGAATCTGAGAACCACTCATAAAGTTCACAGCGCAGGACCACACGTTACTAAAGACTGAGAGCTAATCATAGAACTATGGACCACTTTCCCTCCTCCTGCACTTTACCACCACATTAATAGAAACCTATTTACCAGAGTTCCTTTTACCCAGCACATCACGTCTGGCTGTCAACAGAAAAGTACACTAACAGGCAAAAAAGACAGTTTTGACAACTGCACACCTATTCTTGATAACAATTCTTAACAAACTAGGAATACAAGGCAACTTCTATAACCTGATAAGAGGCATTCAGAAAACACTTAGAGGAGACATCATTTTTCCTGTTAAGATCACAAACAGGATCAGGATGCCTTCTAGCATCATTTCTTGTCAATGGAGTACTGGCAGGCATCGCCAGTGCAGTGAGAGCAGAAACAGAAAATGGTACTGTAAACACTGGGGAGAGAGATATCCAACTGTCCTTATTTGCAGATGCTATGATTCTTTACATAGAAAAGACAAGTGAATCTACTGATAAAATGAGAGAGAATTTAACAAGGTCACTGACTACAGAATCAATGTGTTAAAGTAATTTCATATAACAGAATTTTTTAAAAGTACCACAAGTATAACATAGCTATGACTAAATATTAAAAGATTGGGGGAAGTTATTTTTATTGAAAGTTTTTTAAAATTTAGACACACACTGTTCACTCAATATCTAAAGATGTCAGATTTTCCTAACTCGTATATAGAGTCAATGTAATTCTGATAAAATTCCTAATAGGTCTTTTTATAGAACCTGACATACTGATCCTTAAAATTATATGGAAGAACAAAGGGCCAAAATGTCAAGATGTCTTGAAGAACAAGAAGCTAGGGGAGAGTAACAAGAAGTCTGACTTCATTTTTTGATGTTTTTTGATTGCTGAGAATGTCTAAGCCTCATCCCACCCCACTCCCCACCCCCCGGCCACTTCACATTGTGCCCACATCTGGACAAGCAAATAAGAAAAGCTGGATGTGCACTCTCGGTAGGAGATTCAAACTAGTCAAAGTCCTATCCTAGCCACCCCAGCCCCAACTCCTAACCACAATCAAAGTCCATGCCAATCTCCTTCCCTTGCTTTAAGCATAGGAGGCCTGCCCTGCTCGCCCCAAAGACCTCAAGTAAGCAAGTAATAAACCTTGTCATACCCTCAAGGAGGGTATGGGTGGATCATCAATCTGGACATCGAAACCAAACATTGGGTGAGGAGGGTCCATCTGTCTCTGCAGGTAACCAAACAGAAAGCTTACCTGACAATATTATATCAAGACTTACTGAAAGTAGTACAGATGGAAGTCTGCTCATAAATGATCCTCTTGTACGAGACCCATGACTCCTGGAGTTGTGCAACATGGCCCTGGGTTAAGATGGGTAGTCCTGATTACATACTGCTTTGTAAGTCAAGGTAAGGAGTTTGGATTCATTTTCAGAGTGAAGGAAAGCCATTAGGGAATTTTAAACAGGAAAAAGACCCCACATGATCTGATTTTAACTTTTTAAAGATTCATTTAATGTTATGGACTGAATTGTTTCCCTGTCAAATTCATATATTGAAGCCTTGACCCTCAAGGTAACTGTATTTGGAAGTTAATTAGGTTAAATGAGGTGATGAGGGTGGGGACCTTGTCTAATAAGACTGTTGTCCTTATACGAAGTTGAAGAAACACCAGAGATCTCTCCCTCCACAATGTGAGGACACAGTAAGAAGCCATTTGCAACCCAGGAAGAGAGCTCTTACCAGGAACCAACCTTGGTGGCATCTTGATCTTGGACTTCAGAACTTTACAGAAATAAATCTGTTCTCTAAGCTGCCAGATCTATCGTATTTTGTTCCGGAAGCCTTATCAGACCAATATAGTAACTACTGTGTGTACATGGAAAGGGGGAAGTTAGTATCAAAAGTGAGGAGAGCAGCAAGGAGATGATGACAACTTGAGCCAGGGCATTATTACTGGAGATGATGGCGAGCAGACCCCTTGGCTATGCTCTGGAGAACAGCCTACAGGACATGATGATGGATTGGAGCTGGAGCATAAGGGGGATAAAGGAATCAAATTATTGAGGCAATAGCACCTGAAATTTGAGACATAAGCCAATTCCCCACAACTTGCAAAATAAGGCCTCATTTATGTTTCCTCCACAAGTAACTGATGAGTTATTTCCTCAGTGGAGGAAAATGCACATTCTGACACAGGCTCATATTGCTCTTATATCATTTGGCACACATAAGAATAATTAACATTTTAATGAGCTTCTAGAAAGCTCTATGAAGTCACTACCTAGAGCTTAATGCCATCATTTTCAGAGAATACAGACCTTTCAAGAATAAGATTCCTAGTCAACAGAAGCAGTACAGAAATATTAAGCAGCAGAAAAAAACAAAAGTAATTAGGTTTTATACACAAATAGTTTTCTAATTACCAAAAGTTAGTGTTTGTTGTGGTCATGCTGAATTGCTTTTAAGGTGACACCACACAATTAACCCTCTATATTCTTTCTGTTGCTGACAGGCGCTCTCTGCCCAGAAGAGGATGTGTATTTTTAAGTTTAATTCTCTTTCCTCCTGGCTTACAAGAATAAAGCTTAGAAAAATTTTACTAGGACATTCTTACATGAAGCAAACTCCCATATTTTGTTATATGTCTGATTTGGCTCTAAATTCATTCATGTATCCACTTGCCATACTAAAATCACACAATCAAAATTGAAATAATGGCTTTAATTTACTCAAATACTGACATCGTGATTCTAACCTATGACCAATATCCAGCCTTGCTGGCTGCCATAAGGTAAGCTTCAAATAGCATAAAGTACCATTGCCTTTCTGTAAGGACTAGAGGCCCGGTGCACAAAATTTGTGCGGGGGGGGGGGGGGAGGTCCCCTCAGCCCAGCCTGCACCCTCTCTAATTCAGGACCTCTCTGGGGATGTCCGACTGCTGGTTTATCATTACTGGCAGTTGGGCATCCCTCTCACAATCTGGGACTGCTGGCTCATTACTGCTCACCTGCCTGCCTGCCTGATTGCCCCTAACTGCCCCCCCCCCCCACCAGCCTGATCACTCTTAACTGCCTCTGCCTGCTGGCCTGGTTGCCCCTTACTGCCCAACCCCCCCCCCCCCCGCTGGCCTGGTTGGCCCTCACTGCCCCTCCCCCCGCCGGCCTGGTCACCCTAGACTTCCCTCCCCTGCCAGCCTGGTCACCCCATGCAGCCTGCTGTTCAGTTGTTTGATCATCCCTCACTAACCCCCCTGCTGGCCTGGTCACCCCAGGAAGACTGCTGATTGTTACTGTTACTGTGACAGCATCCGGGACAATCTGAATATTCCTCTATTATTAGTATAGATATGCAGTACTGCAACTCTTATTAGCAAACTGGTAGCCCGGTGCACGAAATTTGTGCACATTAAAAGGGAATTTATTGCCCTAACTGATTTGGCTCAGTGGCTAGAGCATAGGCCTGTGGACTTAAGGATCCTGGGTTCGATTCCAGTCAAGGGCATGTACCTTGGTTGCAGGCACACCCCCAGTGGGAAGTGTGCAGGAGGCAGCTGATTGATGTTTCTCTCTCATCGATGTTTCTAACTCTCTATCCCTCTCCCTTCCTCTCTGTAAAAAATCAATAAAATATATTTTTTTAAAAGAGGGAATTAATTAGCAGAGATATTTTAATATTACTATTTGCCCTTTCTCTATAATAGAAGTGTGAGAAATGAAAGGAAATTAGTAAAATGTATATGAAAATAATATATAAATCCTATCTAAGAATATACAAACATGGTAATTAACCATACCTCCGACACACTTCCCATTGGCTAGTCAGGGTGATATGCAAATTAACTACCAAACAAGATGGCGGCCAGCAGCCAGGCAGCTGAAGCAAACAGGAGGCTTGCTTGCTCCAGTGATGGAGGAAGCCAAGGTTCCCCGCCTGCCACTGCCGGCCTCTGAGCTGCAGTCTAAGAAACAATGTTGCCATTATAGAAGCTAAACAAACCACAGAAACCTGCTTTCAGCCAGCCGGGCCTCAGAGCTGGAGTTGCAACAGTGTTTCAATTATAGAAGCCAAACAAACTGAGGTCTCAGAGCTGGAGCCGAGCCTCAGAGCTAAAGCCAGCTCTCAGCTCCAGTGGCAGCCATAGAAGGTAAATAAATCCCAGAATAAAAAAAAAGAAAAGAAAAAAAGGAGAGGTTGGGAGTTTCAGTCACCCGCCAGCCTAAAAACGGCCCTCAGTCCCTCACCCAGACTGGCCAGGCACCCCAGTGGGGACCCCCACCCTGAAGGGGGTGTGACCAGCTGCAAACAGCCATCATCCCCTCATCCAGGCTGGCTAGGCACCCAAGCGGGACCCCCACCCTGATCCGGGACACCCTTCAGGGCAAACCAGCCAGCCCCCACCAGTACACGAGGCCTCTATCCTATATAGTAAAAGGGTAATATGCAAACTGACCCTAACAGCAGAAAGACTGGGAATGACTGGTCATTATGACATACACTGACCACCAGGGGGCAGACGCTCAATGAAGGAGCTGCCCTCTGGTGGTCAGGGCGCTCTCACATGGGAGGAGCTCTGCTCAGCCACAAGTCAGGCTGATGGCTGCCAGTACAGCGGTGGTGGTGGGAGCCTCTCCTGCCTCCTCAGCAGTGCTAAGGATGTCTGGCTACAGTTTAGGTCTGCTCCCCGCTGGCAAGTGGACATCCCCTGAGGGCTGCCGGGCTGCCAGAGGGATGTCTGATTGCCATCTTAGGCCCAATCCCCCGGGGAGTGGGCCTAAGCCAGCAGGTGGTAATTCCCTGAGGGGTCCCAGACTGCGAGAGGGCACAGGCCAGGCTGAGGGTCCCCCCTCCCCCTGCAAGCGCACAAATTTTTTGTGCACCAGGCCTCTATTTTATTAATAAATAAACAGTAACAAAAGGATATAACAACAGAGGCATGATGTAAAAACGACAAAAACATGATATGAAAACAACAAAAGCATGATATAAAAACAACAGTGATGCAAACAGTGACTGATAAATTGATTAAACTTATTCTAATATCTCCCTGTACACCACATTGAGAGTGAAAACACTTTCAGAGTGCTTGAATTGGTCATTTATATTGGGAATGAAAGGTTCTTCCACTGAGAAGTAAATTTGCAGCAATTCCTGTAGATGCTGTGGGTAAAACAGTATCACCACATCCTCTAGTATAATGTATTAAAACTTTATTGTAGGGAGCCGCTACAGTGTTTTGGATAGGTTCAAGCCTTGGTCTGATGAGAGGGCACAATCCTCTCATTGCCACGTGCAAGTCCCAGCTTGGAGGGCAGGGCCCTCCCAGCACAATTATAGCCAACAGCTATAGTTGTAAGCTTGAGCCTATGGTCCAAATATGTGGCCCCATGTGCCTAAGTGATGTAGGCTTGATAGAGTTCAGGTGCATGTAGTTGAGTAGGATTGAAACCCAGGAGAATGTTGTAAACATCTTGGTCACGCCCTTACTTTGCCTCGTGGCATCTGCTATAAAATAAAGACACGGCTGTGGGCATGGTCGCTGTCTCGCAGAGAAGCAGCATCCAACCAAGACCCAGATTTCATTCTCTTGTCTGTCTTTTCTAAGCCTTTCAGCTGCCCCCACTCAGGTTCACCATTGGCTGTGCTGGCGTGGCACACTTTATAAAGATATGCCTCCAAGCTCCGAGGGCAGGTTCCTGCCTCAAACCCAGCCCTTACAGGAAACAGCTCCAGGAAACAGCTCGGGGGGAGGGTGCAGCTGTTTCCAAGACAACCCCTGCAGGACTGACTTCCTTCCAGTTGGTTGCAGTTCTGGCCGTGATGTTACACCAGGGTTTTTATATAAGTAGATATTACTGTTAAATAAATTTCTAAAATTTTTCTATCAAAGACTAATTATGTAAATTATTTTCTTAATCACAACTATAAACTCTTTGTAGATAATATTTATGCCAGGAAATATACATCATAATGGTTGTTATGTCAAAAATGCATAGCAATTTATTGATACATTTCAGGGCCAAGTATTATTACTTTATAATATTTGAAGCATTTTTTTTTCTGGTGTTACATCTAGCATATATATATATTTATGGCATATATATATATATATATATATATATCCTATCTAATAAAAGAGAAACATGGTAATTAGCTGTAACTTTGCTACCCTTCCCATTGGCTAATCAGCGAGATATGCAAATTAACTGCCAACCAAGATGGCGGCCGGCAGCCAGGCAGCTGACGTGAACATGGAGGCTTGCTTGCTCCAGTGACGGAGGAAGCCAGGTTCCCCGCCTGCCTGCTGGGCTCTGAGCTGCTCTCTAAGAAACATTGTTACAAATATAGAAGCTAAACAAAA